CAAAAGCAAGTCTTTCTCTAGGCTCACATCTAACCCCAGCTAGGAGTCTGGTGACTTGCCCCTTGTCTGAAGAATATCTCCTGCAACCAGAACAAACTGTTAACTAAGATGCCCAGCCTCCAGGGTAATTGCAGGACCTGCAACAACTGTTCCCTTATGTATGGACTGAGAATAAGGCTCCTTGCCTCCCCCCACCCCAGGTCTGGCAAGTAAGGGAATTCCAGGGGGCATTAGGCTATTGCTGCCTATAGATTTTAGGATTTGCTGAAGTAGCAAAACCTCTGTATGCCAGCCTTACATGGAACCAACCTGTAGAAGGAAGTGACTAAACAAGGAGACTTATTCTCTCCCAGATGCCACCAAGCCATTCTTACTTGTTTGTGGATGAGGCCTGGGACATTGCCAAGGGAGTTCTAACCCAAATGTTAGGGCTATGGAAACAGCCTATGGCCTTCCTATCTAAAAGACTAGATCGTGTATCAGCTGGATGGCCAACGTGTAAAGGAAGGTTATAAGTTGCCTTGGGGCAAGAACTTCACTCCTCGCTCAGTTGAAGAGGCGAACTCCAGAGAGATGGATATCAAATACCCCAATGACTCATTACTAGGCACTCTTCCTAGATCAACCCTGAATAGGATTTTATAGGACCTCAACCCCTCAACCCAGCAAGCCTACTACCAGATGAGGATCCAGAAGAACCCCTACATGACTGCACTGAGGAGACTGACCTGATCCAATCTACTGGACAGGACTTGACTGATGTCCCACTGCCCGAGGTAAATGAGGTACTGTACATGGATGGAAGCAACTTGGTCCAAAATGGCATCAGATATGCAGGCGCTGCAGTCCAATGGGGAAGGACAGGCCATGACTGTGTAGAGCAGCAGCTGGTATGCTTTTGCCATTGCTCATGTGCATGGGGCACTGTATCAGGGGAGATGGCTCCTTCTAAAAAGACTCCCCCAAGGCACCAGTGGGGCCCCTCCAGGTCCTGGACACATTGCCAGAACGAGGCCTGCCCCACAAGCCTGCCTACACACCAGAGGAAAAAACATGGACAACATTCCCCGGCTAGACTATGTCGCCAAAGACATTCGATGTCCTGCCTCTGCCCAGATAAACGTTAAAGAAAAAAGCACCAGAGGGAATACATGCCCATGGCACCACCCCCAGGGAACAGCAGAAACTGGACTTTACTGAGATTAAAGCAACTGTCTTCAAGAACAAGTATCTTTTGCTTTTTGTAGACACATTTTCTAGGTTAATGGAAACTTGTCCCACCTGGACTGAAAGAGCCTCCATAGTGACAAAGAAACTGCTCCAAGAATTAGTTCCTAGGTTTGGATTGCCCCTCACCTTGGGGTCTGACAATGGCCTGGCCTTCATAGCCAAAATCTCTCAAAATTTGGCAAGGGCATTAAATATCAATTGGAAGTTATAGTGTACTTATAGGTCACAGAATTCAGGGCAGGTAGAAAAAATAAAGAGGACCTTAAAAGGGACCCTAACTAAATTGGTTACAGTAGCAGGCAAAAGTTGGGCCAACCCCCTTCCCTTTGCCCTACTCAGAGCAAGGTGTACTCCATACCAAGAAGGATTACTAATCACTCCCTTCTCAAGTCATTACAGGCCCTGCAACAGGTCCAGAGGGCCATCTACCAGACAGCCGAGGAGCTGGTCTCCAGTCTGCCTCAGAACCACTCCACAAGTTCCAGCCCAGTGACTTGGCATGGGTCAGGAGAGTCCCAGCTCAGACTCTGGAACCATCCTGGAAGGGTCCATATCCTGTGACGTTTACAACAGTGAAAGTGGTCTCATGGATCCATCACACTCAGCTGAAGGAGACCACAGAAACAAACGAAAAATGGACTGTCACTCAGACCTCCAACCCTTTAAAGATAAGACTGACATTAATTCCCTGATTGTTACAACTGTGCTTTGGCTTCTTTTCCTCCCCAGGGGGATGCTCAGGAAAACTGGGGATGAGAAAGTCCTTGCAATTGTTTATTAATGAAAAATAGTCCCAGTTACCTCAACCAAAAGCCCCGAAACAGGCCTAAACATACATCCTTTAACCAGTTTGAGGGTCCAGAAGGCGGGGGCCTCTGCATACTGGTCCACATTGTCCCTCAGGTATAAAGTTAGATTTCATCTTTATAAAACAAGAAGGCCTTTGTAGGCCTTTAGGAGAGACCTGCTACTTCTATGCGAATCAGTCTAAAATTATCAGGGAGAACTTAGCACTAGTCTGACAACTGATATCAGTCTTTATTCTCCTGGTCTCCACGGCTCACTACCAGGCTCACAGCCTTGGTTGGATCTCTGGTACTCCTACTCCTGACTCTGACGGTCGAGCCTTGTCTGATCAACAGCCTAACAAACTACAATGGGTTAATACAGTAGAAATCATGGTCCTAAAAGGACAATACCCAGGATGAGTCCAGGTTTTGACTCATGCCCATAGAACCAGTGGGGAATGTGATATGGTACCTTCTTGACCATAGCTATACCATGTTAAAGTTTAGGCTGACTCTAGTCTCTAAAATTATCAGGCATTCATCCCAGGGTATGGGAAACAGGTCAGTGTATTCTAGAGTGTACCTTCTAACTGCAGATTTATGGCTTCTGTTTATTGCTTGGCTTACTTCTGCAAAATAGTAATTGTTGCTTAATAGAATAGAAATTGTTAAGGGGGCTTTCCACCTGTAAGCTTGGGAACTTAAACTTTCCACCCCTGGTTGTGGTTTTTCTGTATAAAAACCTGAGATGGCTCAGGCTACAAACTTGGGTTCTAACACCTTTGTGTAGTCGCTGGCAAGCAAAGACTTTCATTTGGCAAAACTTTGAGAGGTCTTCTCTGGTGAAGCACCTCACAACAATGTAGAGGCCAGAAGACAGTATTGGATCCCCCGGAACTGTTAACCACCATTGGGTGCTGGGAACCAGACTTGGGTCCTCTGCAAGGACAGCCAGTGAGACTGTACTGAGACCATTAATGGTACTCATATATATCTGTCTTTAGGGCTGCCCACTTGGGATTAGATAACCTCTCAGGGAGCTAGTCCCTGGAGAAAACTGATTGCCTCTAGCTCTTAACCTAGAGGTTTGGTCCTGTGAAATTCCCATCCACATTGGCATGTCAATAGGTTTTCTCATAATGCAGTTTTTTTTTGAGACAAGGTCTCACCAGCCAGCCTTGAACTCACTATGTAGAGTAGGCTGGCCTCGATCTCACAGAGATCCATCCAAGTTCTAGAATCCACCCAAGCCCCCATGCCTAGCACTTAATGCTGGTCTCTTTAGACTACCAAACTGTGGAGATTTCATGTGTGCAGCTTCCTTATCATGTCTAGAACACACTATCTAGCATCCTCTGGCTTCTACATTCCTTCCACCCCTCTTCTGAGATGTTCCCTGAGCCTTAGGAGTAGAGGTTGCATTGTAGATGTGTCAGTTTGGACTAGGCACTCCCGTCACTTGTTCTCAGCATTTTGACCAGTTGTGGAACTTTTTTTTTTTTTTGTGGTCTTTTTGAGACAGGGTCTCAGTGTAGCCCCAGCTGGCCTGGATTCGCTATGGAGACCAGGCTGGCCTCGAACTCACAGAGATCTTCCTGCCTCTGCCTCTCAAATGCTGAGATTAAAGGTGTGAACCACCACTCTGGCCAAGTTGTGGAACTTTTAATCCTCTCCATCCATTGCTTCTCTTTTTGAGACAGAGTCTCACTATGTAACTCAAGGTGAACTCTATCTTAAGACCTTCCTGTCTCAGTTTCTGGAATGCTGACTGGCTAGGTCTCTGTCCTCCCTCCCCCTTCCTTCTTTCAGGGACAGGGTCTTATTCAGTATCCCAGGCTTCTCTGGAATTCACTGTGTAGCCGGGGATGGACTCAACCTCCCGCTTCAGGCTGAGATTAGAGGTATGAACCGCCACTTCCTGATTAAAGATTGCCCCCCCATACCTGCATCCTAGTTCTTGAAATTGAACCTATAGTCTCATGCATGCTAGGTAAGTACTGTACCACTGGGTGATATTCCCAGCCCTGGAAGTTTTTTTTGTTTTGTTTTGGGGGTGTGTGGGGGTTCTTCTTGAGACAGGGTCTCCCTGTAGACACAGCTGGCTCAGGACTCACTATGTAGATGGGGCTGGCCTTGAACTCACAGAGATCTACCTGCCTCTGCCTCCCAAGTGCTGGGATTAAAGACATGTGCCACCATGCCTGGCCTCCAACACCCTTTTCTAACTTTTTTGGGAATTGCACAACATGGGTGCACTTGTATACATGCAGTCAATACACTCATACACATAAAATAATAAATAAAATGTTTTTTAAAACAAAAAAACCCCAAAATTAAAACAAGCATACAGACACAATAGCAAAACAAAACAAAAAACCCCAAACCAAAACAAAGTAAAAAATCCCTACAGACAACATGTAACCAGAAAGAGTGAGAGAAGGACAGAGAACTCTCTCAACCTGGCCCCCCATCAAAACAAAAACCAAAGCCAGGCATGGTGGTGCATGCCTTTAATTCCAGTACTTGGGAGGCAGAGGCAGGTGGATCTTTGAGAGATTGAGGCCAGCCTGGTATACACAGTGACTTCCAGGCCAGCTGGGGACTATAGGAAGACCACTGGCATCCTCATGCACACGTATGTATGTGTGCAGGAATGCATATGTGCACATGATCACATGAACATGTGTATACACCACATATACATACACACATAAATAAAGCAGAAGGAGAAGAGGTTCAAGGTCAGGGTGAAAAGGGTTGAGGAGGAATCAGTAAGAGAGACTAGAAGTAAATGAGAGGCAGGAGAGGACCAGGCACGGATGGTATCTCAGAGGAGTCTGGGGCCATCTGGGGACTGATATGGGTCCTTGAACTTTCCGGAGTGTTGATGGCCCTTTCCCAACCTCTCACACAGCTGTTGGTAGAACTCCTTTCCCCTCACACCACACAGAACAGACATCCAAACTCTTTATTGGCTCTTTGCAGGCAGTCGCTCGCTCGTTCTCTTCCCTGCTGCATTTTCTAATTCCCAGCTTCCCACCAGGGCCAAGTGGGACTGTCTTTGACTCCTTCCTTCTGGTGGGTTTCGAGGTTGCCGCGGGGGCTTGTCACTCCTTTGATTCTGTAATATCTTTCTCCAAGTGTGTGATGCACTCCACCTGATTCAGATCACCAGGGCCCAGGGAAAAGCTGGAGCTGCTGTTGGAACCGCTAAGGAGGAGTAACTCTGCAGGCAACAGAGATTAACATGAGTCTGGCTGCCAGCTGTACCTGGGCTCTGGGTCCAGCTCACTCCCTGCTCACCTTTGGTAACATTGACCTTGTTGGCTGCCAAGATGTCCGCCTGAATGCTATCTATTTTAGCGTACAAGATTTCAGCGTTGTCCTAAGGATGCAAAAAGGGGAGCCCAGCTGGGGGCCAGAGCAGTGTGCTCTTGCAGTTGGGCTTGAAGGGAAGGGTACTTTAAGCAGGGCTGCTCTCAGGGAACCCTGAGGGCAGGGAGGGAGGGGACTAGAAGACAGCAGAGAGAGGACCCCGAGCCAGGTGGCTAGGCTCATGCTGTGCATAGGGGCCATCATTCTATCCTGGTCAAATGCTGTGGCTGGTGGGAGGCAGGGTACTTACAAGGAAGAGCTGGTAGAGTTCTTCCCCCATGGACTTTCTGACATGTTCCTCCACCAATGGGAACGTCTGCACAAAGAACTGCAAGCCGGAGGGTGGGAGGGACAGCATGATGGTGGGCGTCCATTGACTTCACTGTCCATGCCCTGCAACCTGCCATATGCCCACCCCAGCCCACATACCTGCAGTGTGAGGCTGGCCAGCCTCTGGCTATTGCTGTGGTCGGTGTTGCCCATGGCAGTCATCAGGCTGTGCACCACACGAAAGTGCAACAGCTCCTCTGCGAGACCCAAGCTGCTGCGGGCCAGGATCCTTGGGAGGCAGGATTAGACAAACAAATGTGGGGATATGGGAGGGAAAAGGCACCTCTCACCCTAGAGTCTGATTAAAGTTTCTCTCCAGCTGAGAAACAAAAATTTCAGCACACATTAGCAGCATTTGCTGTGAAGGCTGCCCACACAGAGATACAATTTGATATTTAAAATAGCAGTGAACCTGGCTTAAAGCTGACTATACCACCTTGCTAGGGCCTCATTCCTCTTCTCAGACATTCTCTGGGAATCCTAAACAAGACTATCAGCTTTGCAGTAAACACATCCTATTTTCTCAAATCCCTGTGGTCTAGACTTTGGCCTTATCAACTGTAATCCTATCAGGTGCCCCTCAGAAACCATCTTATCTCATTTAGAGCCTTTAGCAACCTTTTCCAGATAGTAACTTCAAAACCACCAAACTCCTACATGACTATAGTTAAAAAAACAGCCCAGAACTCTACTTTATACCTGCTAGTCCTGAAATTCTTTGCTGAGCAGAAGCCACAAATCCCTGTTTGACCTGGGTGGAAGTCCCTAAAAGATTGGGGAGCTCCTAGGCCTGAGGGGGACAGTGGGGAGCTGTGCCTCTGTTCTCCTTGTTGCTGACACTCAGAGCGGGGAACTGGGCTCCAGCAGATGCTGGGGACCCTCTCCAGGTGCCCCACACAGGGGCCTTCGGGGAATGCCAGGTTTGGCTTCCTGCAACCACCCAACACCCCAGCTGGCTCACCCAAGGGTTTTGGCAGCTGCAGCCTGCTGCAGGAACACTGGCAGGTGTGCGGTGAGCTGGGGAACTGTGGAGTCTGAGGAAGCAAGGGGCTGTCAGCCCGGAAGCCCCTTCCCTCCGCTGGGGGAAGTCCCACCCCAAAGGTCATACCCGTGAAGATCTTGGCCTGCAGTTTGGAGGTTTCCTTGATCGAAGGGATAAGCAGTGCCACGAGACCCTTGAGCAGCGGCAAGCGCACATCGCAGTGGACCAGGTCCTTTATCAACTCGATGGCTGGGAGGGACAGAGGTGCTGGAGAGGCCCCAGGCAGAGTCCCTCAAACCTCATAACTGCCTTTTACACTGCCCTGGTGCCTTCTGCTCAGCGCTGTGTAAGGCCTGCAGAGGATGCGGAGAGGCCACCTCTCTCTCCTGCCCTTCAGGAGCCTACCCAGCAACAGCCTGGACATCAGAGCTGGAGATTTCAGCCCCACAGAAATGGGTGGTCTTCAGCTTGGAGAAATCCAGGTTTGGTGGAGAAAGGAAGGGCTGGCTAGTCAGGCTTTTTTTTTTTTTAATTCTTGGGGATCAAACCCAGGGCCTTCCATATTCTAGGCCAGTGCCTTACCACTTAGCTACATCCCCAGGCCTGGGCTGGGTCTTTTGTGTTTTGAAACCCCAGTCTTACATTACCGTCCTGAGATTGATTCCAGAACCCATGTCAAAGTTGAAGGAGAGAACTGACTTTACAAAATTGTCCTCAGGCCTCCACACATGTGTCATGGCATGCCCCACCCCACATCATACACACACACATACATACATAATAATAATAATAAAGAAATTTAAAAAATAATGGACTGGGAAGATAGCTCAGTCAGTAAAATGCTTGCCATGCATACATGAGGACCTGATCCCCAGCACCGTAAATTCTCAGCACCTGTTGTTCCCAGTGTCTGTGTAAAAAGTGGAGCATGGTGGTAAACACATGTCATCCCAGTGCTGGGGAGGCAGAGACAGATCCATGAGCTCCATGGCCAGCCAGCCTAGGCTAACTGGCAAGCCCCACATCCCAGTGAGACCCTGACTCAAAATTGAAGGGACCAGTAGGGGGTCAGGACTGTACAAAAGCCAGAGACCAGTTTCCAGAGACGTAGGAGGAAGCCAGGAGAGTACAGGGCCTGGGGAGGAAGAGCAGATGGAAGACACCGAGTACTCATGGAGGTGGGGGGCATCAGGGGGTTTGAGGGTTTGAAGGTTTGAGAGTTCCTGTCCAGTGGAGCTAAGAAGCAGCTCTGTGAAACCCATGTTCCTCCAAATATATATATGTATGTGTTCACTGGGGTGTGTGCACATGGGTGTACATGGGTGTGTGTGCATGTGAAGGTAGAAGTTGATGCTGGGTGTTCTCCTCAATTGCTCTCCACCTTAATTAAAAAAAAATTATTTCTTATGTGTATGAGTATTGCCTGTATGTATGTATTGCCTGCATGTATGCAGGTGCACCCATGTTGTGCAATGCCTGGGGAGATCAGAAGAGGGTATCAGATTTCCTCGGAACTGGAGTTATGGACAGTTGTTAGCTGCCATGTGGGTGCTGGGAGTCAAACCCAGGTCCTCTGTAAGAGGAGCCAGTGCTCTTTTTTAAATATTATTTTTATTTTATCTATATGCGTATATTGCCTGCATGTAGGCAAGTGCACCCATGTCATGCAATGCCTTTGGAGGACAGAAGAGGCTGTCAGATCCCTTGGAACTGGAGTTAGGACAATTGTTAGCTGCCATGTGGGTGCTGGGATTTGAACCCAGGTCTTCTGCAAGAACAACCAGTGTTCTCTCCAGCCCAAGCCAGTGCTCTTAAAAAAAAAAAATTATGTGTATGTATTGCCTGCATGTATGTCAGTGCACCTGTGTCCTGCAGTGCCCTCAGAGGACAGAAGAGGTAATCAGATCCCCTGGAACTGGAGTTACGGACGGTTGTTAGCTGCCATGTGGGTTCTGGGGTTCCAACCTGGGTTTTCTGCAAGAACAGTCAGTGTTCTTAACCACTGAGACTCTCTCCAGTCCCATTTTTTTTTTTTTTTTTTGAGACAGGGTCTTTCATTGAATCTGGAATTCACTGATTTGGCTGGGCTAGTTAGCCAGTAGGATTATGGATCTGCCTTTCTTCACCTCTCCAGCCCAGCACTTGGATTATAGATTAAAATTGCACCATGGAAACTTAGTTCAAGAGGATAGAGTTATCCCTCAAATCCAAAGGCTAACTATAGAGTTCACAGTCTGAAGCTGAGTGAGATGGCACACATTGTAATCTCTCTTTTTTTTTTTTTTTGTCTTTTTGAGACAGGGTCTCCCTGTAGCTCCAGCTGAACTGGAATTCACTATATAGACCAGGCTGGCCCTGAACTCACAGAGATCCATCTGCCCCTGCCACCCGAGTGCTGGGATTAAAGGCGTGAGCTACCATGTCTGGCTCACACATTGTAATCTTACCGCTAGGGAGGTAGAGAATTATCTTCTGATACATAATGAGTTTGAGGCCAGCCTGGGCTATCTAAGACCCTATCTCAAAACAAAAACAAAAACAAAACAAATCAGGACCCAGGTGTAGTGGTGCATGCCTTTAGTCTCAGCACTTGGGAGGCAGAGAGCTCTATGCGTTCAAGGCCAGCCTGGTCTACATAGTGAGTTCCAGGCCAGCTAGAACCAAAAGATAAAAATAAAATAATAAGAAAGAAAGAAAGAAAGAAAGAAAGAAAGAAAGAAAGAAAGAAAGGAAGGAAGGAAGGAAGGAAGGAAGGAAGGAAGAGGAAGGAAGGAAGGAAGGAAGGAAGAAAGAAAGAAAGAAAGAAAGAAAGAAAGAAAGAAAGAAAGAAAAGAAAGAAAGAAAAAGAAAAAGAAAGAGAGAGAAAGCCAGGCATAATGGCACATGCCTGTAATCCCAGCACTCGGGAGGCAGAGGCAGGCAGATGTCTGGTTGAAGCCAGCCTGGTGTTCATAGTGAGATGGGGCTACAGGGAGACCCTGTCTCAAAAAACCCAAAAACAAACAAACAAACAAAAAACACCAAACCAAACCAAAGAAAAATCCTATAAGCACCAGAATCTCCCATATCCACCTGCTGATCCTTGTTCGAATAGATGAAGAAATCAAGAGCAAGTGCTTGCTTAGGGGACCAGTGAGCAGGAGACAGTGCTGTAGCAGCGGGAGTAATGTTCCTTTGACAGAAAGACCTTAGAAATGGCCTAGCATCCTGGAACCTATGTGTGGGAAAGTAAAATACCCCACCCCAGATATATAGCATGCTTAAAGTTAGTTATTAGAAAAATCGCATGCCTCTATAGATAGGAATGGATTGGAAAGGCTACCCTTTTGTAAAAAGATATTTATTGCTGGGCATGGTGGTGCATGGCTGTAATCCTAGCACTTGGGAGGCAGAGGCAGGCAGATCTCTGTGAGTTCCAGGCCACCTGGGACTACAGGGAGACCCTGTCTCAAAAAGACCAAAATTAGAGATATTTATCAAGGAAATCTATATTAATGTAAACAGCCAATGGATGTAAACAGGTTTTTCTATTGATATCTTCTCCCTCTTCTTTTTGCCTAGGGAAGCTCTTTAACAAAATTTATTAGGCCAGGTGTAGTAGTGCATGCCTTTGATCCCAGCACTCAGGAGGCAGAGGCATGCGGATCTCTGTGAATTTTAGTCCAGCTTGGTTTATATAATGAGTACCAGGCCAGCCAGGGGAGACCCTGTCTCAAGACAAAAAAAACCAAAATCCTTTATTTTTATTTTATGTGTATGACTGTTTTTCCTATACTTATGTAGGTGCATCCATACATGCAATGCCCAACAAAGCCAGAAAAGGGTGTTGGATCCCCTGGAACTGGAGTTATAGTCAGTTGTTATGGGAGCTGGGAACCTAATCTGGGTCCTCTGTCAGACCAGTCAGTGCTTGAACATCACAGGTGGCTCTTGCTTTGGGGACTTTATCTACATAACCAGAACATTCTTACAGTGAGCCTTCTCCCTTCTGCCTTCCATAACCAGCTATCATTTCCTGTCCCCCAGAATTGCAAGCCTCTACACCACTGTTTAGCTCTATATAAAGCTCAGCTTATTCAGCCTCTTTTTTGAACCTCACACTATAGGCATGGTGTTTGTGTTTAGACAAGTAATAAAATTTGCTTTTTCTGTTAAAAATTAGATCATTTTATAGACCAAAGTGACCAAGATGTAGAGGGAAAAAAATAAATGAAAAACTTGCCTACACAGCATCCATTTCCAAGGTGCTCAAAATACTGCTGAGCATCGTTCTGTGGGAATGCTTTGCCCCCAGAGCCTTGGAAAACAAGGGCGCCACTGTTCTTTGCATTTCCAGACAAAACTGCCACCTTCTGGCCTTACTAGAGAACTGCGCTTCTACACAACTTTTTGCTTTCTTTTCCAGCAGATTATATTTGGTATGCTGCGTTGTTGCTAGTAAGAAACCTGAACCAGGCTGCTTCCTGAAAAGATATGTGCTCTTTATGATCCTGTGCATTCCACTACCTTTTAAACCACATCCTGTTCAAAGACCAATGTTGAAACATTAATAGTAGATTTTTAATTAATTAATTAATTAATTAAAGACAAGGTCTTCACTATTTAGCCTTGGTTGTCCTGGAACTTGCTGTATAGATCAGGCTGGACTTGAACTTGTAGCAGTCTGCCTGCTGCAGCCTCTCTTGGCTGAGATTTTAGGTATGCACCACCATGCCTGGCTAGAAATACTTTTATTTGGGGGAGCTAGAGAGATGGCTCTGTGGTTAAGCACACTTGCTGCTCCTACAGAGGACCCGGGTTTAGTTTCCAACACCCACATGGAGACTCAGCTGTCTATAACTCCACCTCCAGAGGATCTGCTCCAGGGGATCTGATGCCTTCCTCTGCTTTCCCTGGGCATCAGGCATGCATGTGGTGCACACATATACATGCAGGCAAACACACACATTAAAAAAAAAAAAAACAAAAAAACAAAAAAAAACTTTAAAAAATACCTTTACAGGGCTGAAGAGATAGTTCAGTGGGTAAGAGCACTGGCTGTTCTTGTAGAAGACCTGGGTTTAATTCCCAGCACCCACATGGCAGCTAACAACTGTCCATAAGTCCAGTTCCAGGATGTTTGACACCTTCTTCTGATCTCTCGGTTATTGCAAACATGGGTGCACTTACCAACATGCAGGCATTACATTCGTATACATAAAATAAAAATATACATAAAATATTTTTTAAAACCTCTTTTTATGGGGCTG